GGGCGTGGGGAGAGACGGAGAGAGAGATGTTTGCATAAGAGGGCCAGGGGCACTTGTCTAACTCCCATATGGCCCTCATTATAATGAAGAAGCCTTGTGAGTCAACACCATAGCATCCTTGAGTCAGCCAGCCACAGGAGACAATCCATAGCCTATTTTAGACCGTATGTTTTTGCTCTCACAAAACACGAGACATTATAGCAGTATTTCATGAGCTACTTAATCTGAGATGCCAGTGTGGGGAGTGTGTGCACTCCTGGGCCTCTCTGTTTGAAGAGCTCAGTGTAAAATGTTTTAAAGTAATGGAATTATTACAGACAAGTGGTGGGCAGCTTTCGAACAAGTTTTGAAACTTCACCAATAAATGATAGATTTTCTTCCCTGTGCTTCAGATGACAGCCCGATGTCATCTTGACATTTCCAATCTGTGTGGTATTTCCTAACAACATGGGCCAATCTTCATTTGATAGCCCTCGCACCTAATTAGGCCAGCTCTAATGTTCCACTCGGCAGAGTGTCAAATCCAATGTCCAATTACACAGCAGATCAAGGCCAAAGGTCCGCCTCCACTACCTCTCTGGCTGATTATAGAAGAAATGCCACGGTATACATCACACAGAAAGAAATGGGTCTGTCAGAAAAAGGGAAAGAGACACACGTAGATGCACACGCACACATGCATGAACACATACACATAAGGGGATCAATACCGCAGGCAAAGAGGCTGAGGGACTGAGGGTGGCTCTCTAAAACCCAGTCTGTCTATTTCAGACAGAGTCTCTCTGTTACACTGGGCAGACACACAGAAGCCTCTCAGTGCTGAAGTCAGACCACGATGAAGAATAGCAGGTCTGAACATTACCAGAATGTTAAAATCAATCAAGTCTAAGTTTTGCTGTATCAGTGTGTATATAACTTTTGGATTTAAAAATACTAAAAATCTGTCACATTTACCTTGTGAAAAATCAATAAAGACCACAGTCCATCCTTAATGATAAGCTGTTCAATGGAATCTCTTTTTGTTATTCACACCCTTCTTTAGAGCATATGTCAATAACTGAATCAAACGGAGCAGACCCTCATCCAGATGGCTCAGCTCTTGTGTTTAATGTTGGGATTGACACCACATGCTAAACACAATGCGTGGGTTTCACCTGGATACAGAGCAACAAGATAAACAGCCTTGTGTTCATGTGCATCAGAGATAAGGAACCCTGTGGAGGACTCTATGATGGCGAATGGTTTGGCAGGGAAATGACACGCGACTGAACCTGAGCTTGAACACTTTAGAGTAAAAAAGAATCTCTTTTCTTTGAAGCGAGGTAAGTGCAATAGCAAAGTATAAGAAAAGGATGGTACGCTCTAACCTATTCTGTTATAGTGCAATGCATCACTTGAGAGCAATGAAGAATATTGATGGCATTGTGTGTTAGCAAATTGATTTTGGGATAGCGCAATCTGGATGCTGTTTTGCTGCTTTTAAAAAAAATAACTTTTCCTTCTCCTTTTAAGATGAAAACTTTCTGCTCCTTTAAAAAAGTGAGCTCCTGTAGACCTGGCATAGAGGAGAGATGGAGGGCAGTGCACAGTTGGGGTGGGTTGAGGCAGTGGGTTAGGAGGGTGGGGTGGGGGGGTGGAATAGCATGCACGTATGCGCGTGTGTGAGCATGTGTGGATGTGTGTGTATGTGAGGAGGAGACTGCAGTGGTAATTGCCAGGGAAGAGCCATGTGCACGAAGGACGTTGAAGCTTATTAAAGGAGGAGACAGAGTGATTATTCACTATGGTCCTCTTGAGAGACTGACGCTGAAGTCATTGCTTTTAATTAACTCTGAAACGGTTTTGCGGATTAATAACAATATTAAGAAGGGAATGGAGAGGAGAAGCGCAAACACATCTTGGATCTGGTTCAAGCTTTTTAATTACAATCAAATTGAGTTGATGGCACAATAGCACAATAACTATGTCTTTTTGGTTCTCTTTTCTTTCTCCCACTTCTACTGCGTCCAATGAATTTGTCTTCATTGTGCTATGTCTCTCAGGACGTGTCCAAGACAGGTTATAGCAAAGCATTTGATTTATTGGAGAGTTTAGGATTGGTTGGAATATTTGGCACACAGGCAAAAGAACAGGCGATGAAGAAGCCAAAAGAGTATGCAGAGAGGAACTTGGAAAGCGGATAAAGTGTGCTGTGCTGAAAATAGATTTCTTATTTGTTTGTTTACCAGGAAGCTCACTTTTTTGGTCTAGCTTAAAAAGTGTCAAAGTTCTGGGGACAGCATTGGGATCATTGTGTTGCACTCTGCCAAGTGAAAAGGGGAAGTAGATGAAGAGGAGAAGAAATAATGGATGTTGATGTTAGACACTGCTTGTAAGAACCCCTGCCTGGAGTGGGAGGAGCACATGCTGGAGTAAAATGGCACTGCAGGGCCTGGAAACCCGCTGCTTCACTAAAGCCAAAAGATGATAAAATACTAGTATTGTCTCCAATCCCCTTGGTCTCCCCTGTCCCAACTCACAATGTAGCTTTTTGCAAGCCTTAATGAGCTGAAGAAAGCACCACTGTGACTGTAGGAGCTTCAGTTTGACTCTCAGCACTTCATCAATGATGTAGCATAAGTTGGCCCAACATTTATAACCATTCACAGTCATTTACACAGACTAAGGCTCTGGGGCCTTCTCCATCAGCCAAGCACACAACCTAATAAACACCACAGCAAGAGGACTGCATCTTTATGTATAAGCTGTGAATAGGACGGAGGAGGACAGAGAAAGAGAGGCAGTTACCACTTTATAAACATTACTCGGGTCTCTGGAGATGCACACTGTGTGCGTCTAACTTAAGTACCTCCGCACCCTCCTCTTGGGAGCACAATGAAGTGGGAACAGAAGGCATTTTATAGGAACATATGTTCTTCTTCCCCTATTATATATCAATGCTTTTACGCCCACCCATAAACATTACTGTTGAGTGAGACATTATATTTAGAAGGCGATTGCTGTAATTCTCTTTTTCTTGCTGGGTGTGAACTTGGCGAGGGTAAATAATTAACCTCTAGACGCTTTGGTGAGGCTGCAGGTTCATGCCACAGAGCTGATGCCAACTGTTATTTTATCTCTATATATCACAGTCTCAGCACTTATAATAGACACTAGCAGTTTTCTTCTTTAATCTAACTCTGTGTTCATTAATTGACAGGGTTTTGTTTTATATGCCACTTGGCAAAACAAAACAACTTAAGAAAATCAGAATAAAGCAAAACTAAAATTATTTCACAGCCAGCAGACATGAAACATGTCGTGGAAGCTGCTTTGTCATGATGTGAAATGACAGCTGGAGGATCACATTTGTTGGATTTCTAACTTATATTTACAGTGCATCTCATCTTTTTTCTGCGTTTCTGACTGTAGAGCAAGCTGGTGATGGGGAACGATCACAGAATCTCTAAATGTTCATGAAATAGACAATAAATAATTGAGTACAATTCACTTTGAGATCATGGTGACAAGAAAAAAAGTGTAGCAGCTTTTGAAGCATTCAGTTACACAGCAGCATATGTGTGAAATGCAATGCCGACAACCCCTGAACTTTATCATGATTTTCAAGTCATACCTATATGTAAATAGTGCATTATAACACAGAATTTAACTTGAGAAAGTATTTATTAAGTATATAAAATGTGCATTTCCTTTAATGTCACTGAAATTAGTCTTGTAGGATCAAATGGGAACGCTGGTTTCTGTCACATAAAGCCTTTTTTAGTGTCATGTTTCTTCTTTTCTTTTTGTTTTCTTTACTGTAATACATTTTTGTTGTTTGTTGTTTGTTTTTCCATGATACTGTTGATAGAGATACAGTTGCAGCCTGAGCAAACAAAGCGAACAATATCTACAATAACTGTAGTGTAACATCCATCTTTTTACAGGCAAAACGCAATTCGGAGCCACTTTGAAGATAAGAGATCCGACGGCTGATCGGAAGGCTGCAAACTACACTGGCACACATTACCGACCTGAGAAGACCCTCCGGGGCGCAAAATAAAATTAGAGCCCCATTAAATGACGCATCAAAGAAGCCGAGAATAGATCACACAGACGTCCTAATGCGTTTAACACGACTGCTAAGATAGATGGAAGCAGCCGCGAACAGGCAACATCATCTGGTGCGCTTTTATGGACAGGTACGGTAAAAAAAAAAATTGTAAATTTCTGCAAAATGCCTAATATTTCCCCCTCCTCTCTTTACACTCAGAGCGCAGACAAGCCGCTAAAGCACACATAGTCAAAAGTTGTATGAGACAGAAATTAGGTGTGCACACTGGCTTTTATAATAATAATCATAATAACAATAATTATAGCCTCACAATAATAGTAATGCTTGGCTATGACATAACTCGGAATACTGTATAATCACTCATAATATACACTGAACAATTAATGATAAAATATAGTTATAGTTAATAAGTCCACCAGATTCTTTTTTATTATCTCTCCCGCTTTTCTACTCTAAAACACTGCAAATGCCAAGGCTTAGGCACAAACTGCCATTAAATTCCTCTGGATGTTAATCCTTATTCTGAAAAAAAAAACTAAACGTCTGATCGGTTTCTACATTTTACAGTGTAAAGCCAAAAAGATCGGCGAGCACTCCGCGTTCAGCTCAAACTGTGACCGTCCTTTGGATCGCGGTACACGGCAATGTCAGGACGCATCATACAAAGAGGGGACGCGGGTTGCAACCAGTCAACACATCTTTATCTCCAGGCGCGCTGGGTGCCACAGCTGTGCGCTCTGGGCTTTGGCCGACGCGCGGCAGATGCGCACGCTTGCCTCGCAATGTCACTTTTTATTCCCTTGCTTTATAAAAAATCTGCTTCCTACACTGTGGCTTTTGCAGAGAGAGCAGAGAGGCGGCAGCAAAGGAAGAGGAGGAGAGTGCGTATCAGAGGAGTCAGGTATGCTTAGGAAAGGAAAGTCAGAAAAAGTTTCAAAGCACTAACCTGGCCATTTTTGCAGAGATCTGCCCACATGCTGGTGCCGTCCCCTCCTCTCATCAGCACATGGTAGATGAAGAAGTATGTGCCAGGTATGCTGCAGATGAACTTGCCCGAAATGCCATCATAGTTGTTGCCTAGGTTGGTGACCACGTCGTCAAACTTGAGGATCTCGTAGCCTTCGTGGGGGTTCTTAAGCCCTGCATAGAAGGCCACCCGAGGCACTGTGCTGTAGGTGGCCGTGCTGATAGCTCCGTTCCCCCCCAGACCCAAAATCCCAGTCCTTCCCTGATCTCCTCTGTCACCAGGAGGCCCCGCTGGTCCTGGTGGCCCAGGTTCTCCCGGTGGTCCTGGTGGTCCCGGCTTGCCTGGCCTGCCAGGCTTCCCCTGTGGGCCCTGCAGTAAGGTGGAGGGTGGAAGTACGTTGCTGTGGTCGCTCAATGCCTCTGCCTCAGCCTGGAGACCAGTGGAGCTGGTGCTGCTGGCTGGAGTGCCCTTGTTCAGGTAGGGGTCACACACCATACGACAGGTGCCCAGCATCTCATAGTGGCTGGCATCTGTACCCACAGAGCTGACGAGCACGGGGATGAGGACCACCAGCACCAGGACGAGCATAACCCCTACGGCAGCCGCCACCAGGGTCTTCCTCCCGATGCTGAGTCGGGGAAGGGGCTGCGCTGCCAGCGTGGGTCTCCCGGGGGCAGAAATGGTGACTGCTTGGTGTGGGGAGCCTGTCACCGAGGAAAGGGACCCAGGGATCCCGAGAAGAGTTGCAAGAGGACCGGCAAGTGTGTGAGGGTGAGGCAGAGACCCACATACACTTGATACTCCTCACTGCTCTGCTCAGTCACACTGGAGTCAGCAACCAGTCATTCACACATGCATAAAGACCTAAGGAAAGCCAAGCATACACAAGGAGACATTCAGAGCGTACTTACAAACACAATCTGACTTGTGAGAAGAAGCAACAAGGATGCAGAGCCCAGAGGAATGGAGTGAGAGACAGAGGGAGCGAGACAGAAAGAGAGAGAGAGAGAGTGGGTGAGTGTGAGAGATATAGAGCAGCCACTGAATCTGTGTGTGCGTGTGTGTGTGTATGTGTGGTGAGTTTGTGGTGCCGGATTCTCAGGCTTGGCTTTTTATACGGCAGAAGCAGCGGAGCCCCCCGCCCCTCCCGGCTGCTCCCCCATTGAGCGAGAGGTTGGTGTGGTTACGTCCCCTTCTCTCTCTCCAGTCACTCAGTAAAGGACTCTCATCACACTGCATCTCTTCTACCACTCTCCTGAACCACCGAGAAGCCTACACAACTCCCCTGACCATCTTGGTCCCCCTCTCTTTCATCCTTCTCTTTTCCTCTCTCCTCACTCTCCCTCCTTTTCCCCACTTTTGGTGTCGTTTCTCGCTCCCTTGCTTTCTCCTCTCTCTTATCAGCATCCAGCCTCTAAAAATAAAGATGGAGCTGTGGAAATACTTTTTTTTTTTCCTGGAGGTGGGTTCTAGAAATTCATGCATACTGTATGTGTGCAGACACAAGACAACACTTAAATCTGCTTTGCCAGGAAATGCCAGCAGCTTCTCAAATTAAAAAAAAGGTGCTAATTATAAAAGTCAATGCCAAGAATGAACTCATAAACAGCTTTAACAGTATAATACAAATTAAACATGCAACCACACATGTAGAAGAACTGTTTGAACACTTTTTTTTAAATGATCTAGGTGGCAGGTCACATAGGACCACTTTTTAAGGGTAAAAGCAGGCAATCTGCCCTCCGTTAGGGGCCACTGACAGTGACACTCTTCTGCTGTTATTTCATTCCCCTTTTTGTCTTTCCCTTGTGTCAATAACCCTGTTTCTCCACCTGAATGCGCTGACACTGTTTCTTATTGGTGTCTTTTTTTAGGTATTGATTTCATGGTTTTTATCAAATTAAGGGTCCTGGTTGGGAGAAAAAAATCTATATGCAGCAGTGATGTCATTTGTTTGACATTTTCATCCCTTAGAGTGATGAATGGTAAAGTAAGAAAGCAAATGACAAAGTCTGTATATGGCAAACAAACATAGTCATCATATGAAATATGTGTTATGTTCGTAGTAAGGCCGGTCTTTATTGTTTTTGGTCTAATACCGTTCAGAACGCAAAATGGACAAATAAATCAAGTTGGATGGAGAGAATACGGTACATCCATGTGAACATGAACTGCCGATTTCAAAAAAAGTGTTCACATCAACCTCACAGAGGCACTGATATCTCTGGCTCACAAAACTGAAGCCAAACCAGCTGGTAGCTCAACACCACACACAATCCAATGATGTGCAGTTTAAGGTCACAAAAATTGAATATATCAGTTATATTCAGTCTGTTACAATCACGTCTGGGAAGTAAGTATCTGGTGCTGTTTTTGGTGTAGCTGTTTCAATGAGTCAACATATGACTGTTTTGAACCTGTAGTCGTTAAATATCATCTTCAGCTTTTTCTGTATATCATTTTCCTGTTCCTGTTGGTCATGCCTTCGAGGACACCAAGAGTCTACAGGTTTTCAGTTCACCAGTTGTTTTCAATAAGTTCAACCTCTCTGTGTAAACTTGTGTTAATCAGTGTAAATCAGCTGGTGTAGTCATTGGTTGGAATAAAAATCTGCAGACTCTTGGCTTTCCACGTCACATTGTTGACTATTCCTGGCTTAGAAAGGACTGTTTGTGCCAGAGCTGAACCGAGCTCGTGTGACGGATTGAGATGGATCAATGAGCAGGATGCCTGACTATTTGTCACCACTACACTTGACATATCACCAGTTATTTTTCTGCATTTCTCTCTCTTCATCATCATTAAACTTCAGCTGCAAACTTATGGCATCACCAGTTGGTTGTCTAATTTATCACTGAGCAGAGTCTGTGAGATATACCCAAATAACTGGCACACCAGGTGTGCCTGCAATGCATATTTGCCTTTTTTTGTTTTATTCCTCAAAACAGACATGGAGTTTGCCTATATGAGGAAGCACACAAGCCCTAAATTGGTTTCGGGGTTTGTTTAGGGGGCCATTGTTTGTTCTTCACACCTGCTGGCTGTAACTGCCAGTCAGATCACTGTGCCCCAAATCTCTAAATCTCTGAACCACAGAGATCAATGCACACCAGAGAGGACAAACAGAGTGCGAAAGCGATGAAAGAGAGATGAGAAAGATGGGGAGACAAGAAATAGAGAGGCACAAGGGGAGCGAGAAGTACAACATGGAGAGGGAGTTAACTGCTGTCACAGCTGAGTTTTATATCAGTGGAGCTGATTTGTTTTGCTTGATTTGTTGGAGCATATAGGGAGAGAATCCATCATTGCCAATGACAGTTGTAAAACGTATTTTAATGGAAGTGACATGTTTTGAAATCCTCAATTGCTGCATGTGGTAGAGATACATTTTCAGCATCTGATTTGCATTTTCTACAATGTATTATAGATGTCAAATTTTTAAAACAGTTAGGGGGCCACATGAGTGGTGCAGAGTGCAAAGTTCCTGTCTACTGCAAAGGTTTGCTTCCCAGTCGTGGAATCAAATTGTTGGCAGGTGGGAAACCAGGCAAAGGTTCTCAGCCTTTTCACTGTATGGTGAACTTGTTGGCAAATAGTTGCTTATTTACACATCCAGCAGTTACAGAGCATTATCATCATGTTTCTGGCCACCCTATTGATCTAAATCCAATATTCACAGTCCTTTTTATTATTTTTTGGTCTCCACCAACTCCTTAGATAAATATCTGGATCTTTAGCTGATAAATATGCCACTATGTTGACCAGCTGTTTGCTCTCTGCTGTGTAGCGCAGATAGCGTACTTGCAGAATAGGTGATTGTGTTTGGTTTTGCTCGTTCTGGGCTAGAAACATGGTTTCCTCTGTGGAAGAGGACCTGCTGCCTTTATACATAAAAACAGTTCATTCTAAGGCAACAAAAATATATGTTACACATTGGACCTTTACTATAAAAAGTTTATTCAAGTTCAGTAAGTATTCTTCTCACATAATGTGTATGTCAAAAAACCAACTGCCAGGAAATATACTACAAAGCTTATTTCTACCACCTCTTGGCATGCTTTAGCTGAGCACCACTCAGCTGTACAGTATAAACGGCATGGGGATAGACAATATTTTGAAAAATTGCAAAATGACACCAAAGCAGCTATTTGTGTGGGTAAAACATAATCATATCATATATAACTGATGGGCAATACTACAAAAGTTAGACCTATGTTGTAAAACAAGGGAATGTTTTTATGCATTAACCTTAACTCCATTTCTGCATTGTTTTATTAAAAAAGAGCTCAGCTCAGGTTTTGTGCATCACAGCTGACTGGACTGTGATGAGAGAGAAAGCTTTTGAAAAACAATAAGTGAGCGGATGCAAGGACAAGGCAAGAACAGGAAACC